GTCAATGGTATCACACTCCATCTTCAATTTTTCCTCATAACTGGAACAACCTACACAACCCCCCATTTTTGGCTAGAGTCTAAATGGGTAACACTGGGGTCAGGTGTGGGATCCAGTTTCCAAGGAGAAACATTATGAGCAGGTATTCCTGTTGAATCAAGAGGGAACAGATGAAGGCCGTGCTCACAGAGATCAACAATGGCCGGAAGGAACTGAAACAAGACCTAAAACAGGAGCTGAAGGTTTCCCTGAAAGGGCTCAGAGATAACTAGATGAAATCTTTGTTGGAACAGCAACTGCTGAGTGCCTCAACAGATTGGGAAACCCAGATACAACTTTGCCAGGCTGGAGTTTCCCAATCTGTCTGAGCACTGTCTGGGCTAGTTTGTCATCAAAACAGGTCAATTTGGAACTTGATAACAAAGATTAGCTGCAGCAAGAATGTAAGGAGCTAAAATATCAGGTCTGGAAATCAAAGGCTCGCAGACCACAGTGGAAGGCAGCCACCTGGATGAGGAATTGAGATAGCCAGAAGACTTGGGTAAGACCAGAGGTTTATAGCTGTTTTCTACTGTGTTTGTAACCCCCAGAGGGGAGAGGTCGGGCTGTCCCAGCTCAAATAATAAAAAAGCTCACTGTCATTGAGGGAAAAACTCCCTGCAAGGCTTATTTGGCTCAGTTCAACATTATAGCCCTACTGAATGGCAGGAAAGGTTGGTTTTAGCAGCCAATGTGAGTGGCCCAGAGATGACAGTGCTGCAGAACTTACCTTCAGAAAAGAGACTGATGATTCAGAACTGGAACAAGCCCTTGACATGAGGTTTGGAGCAGGGGTGCCATTTAGGGGGGGGGCAAGGGAGGGCTCTAGCCCCCCCCACACTTGAGTTTAATAGGGGAGGGCTACTCACCCTAGCCCCAGACGGAGTTCTTAACTACAATAGCTTGAGTGTGATATGTGACGTAAGCTGGGAACAGCACAACCTTAAAGGCAGGGAGTTTGTTTATAAACTGAGGCAGGGCGATTAAGATAACAAAAGGCTTGCCATTAAAGTAAATTAAGGATCATTAAATCACAGAATCACAGAATCACAGAATATCAGGGTTGGAAGGGACCTCAGGAGGTCATCTAGCCCAACCCCCTGCTCAAAGCAGGACCAATCCCCAACTAAATCATCCCAGCCAGGGCTTTGTCAAGCCTGACCTTAAAAACTTCTAAGGAAGGAGATTCTACCACCTCCCTAGGTAACGCATTCCAGTGTTTCACCACCCTCCTAGTGAAAAAGTTTTTCCTAATATCCAACCTAAACCTCCCCCACTGCAACTTGGGTTTTTAAACAGCGAGAGGGCAGTGGATTTGCAGATCACATTCTTCAAGCTAGAAGATGATCTTGAGAGGACTGGTCCTGCAAGCATGGTGGTTTCGACACATTTGGTTGGCTTTTCACAGGCACTCTATAACGAGGTGGTATTCCCCTTTAGGGGCTGGGGAGCCTGAGGTAAGCCTGTATGATCCTGAAAGCACTGCCAGGAACTTCAGTTAAATGATAGGAAACAAAGGGTAGGAATAAAAGGTGAGAATGGAGAGTGGTAAATAGTGGTGTCCTTCCAGGCTCTGTACTGCACCAGTCCTATTCAACATATTCATAAATGATCTGGAAAACGGGGTAAACAGTGAGGTGGCAAAATTTGCAAATGATACGAAACTACTGAAGATAATTCAGTCCCAGGCAGACTGCGAAGAGCTACAAAAGGATCTCTCAATACTGGGTGACTGGGCAACAAAATGGCAGATAGAAAAGGAGTACTTGTGGCACCTTAGAGACTAACCAATTTATTTGAGCATGAACTTTCGTGAGCTACAGCTCACTTCATCGGATGCATACCGTGGAAACTGCAGAAGACATTATATACACAGAGACCATGAAACAATACCTCCTCCCACCCCACTCTCCTGCTGGTAATAGCTTATCTAATGTGATCATCAAGTTGGGCCATTTCCAGCACAAATCCAGGTTTTCTCACCCTCCGCCCTCCCACACACAAACTCACTCTCCTGCTGGTAATAGCCCATCCAAAGTGACCACTCTCTTTAAAATGTGTATGATAATCAAGGTGGCCCATTTCCAGCACAAATCCAGGTTTTCTCACCCTCCCACCCCCCTCCAAAAACCACACACACAAACTCACTCTCCTGCTGGTAATAGCTTATCCAAAGTGACCACTCTCCTCACAATGTGTATGAAAATCAAGGTGGGCCATTTCCAGCATAAATCCAAGTTTAACCAGAACGTCGGGGGGAGGGGGGGGGTAGAAAATAACAAGGGGAAATAGGCTACCTTACATAAATACTTAGCCACTCCCAGTCTCTATTTAAGCCTAAATTAATAGTATCCAATTTGCAAATGAATTCCAATTCAGCAGTTTCTCGCTGGAGTCTGGATTTGAAGTTTTTTTGTTGTAAAATCGCGACCTTCATGTCTGTGATTGCGTGACCAGAGAGATTGAAGTGTTCTCCGACTGGTTTACAAATGTTATAATTCTTGACATCTGATTTGTGTCCATTTATTCTTTTACATAGAGATTGTCCAGTTTGACCAATGTACATGGCAGAGGGGCATTGCTGGCACATGATGGCATATATCACATTGGTGGATGTGCAGGTGAACGAGCCTCTGATGGTGTGACTGATGTTATTAGGCCCTTTGATGGTGTCCCCTGAATAGATATGTGGGCACAGTTGGCAACGGGCTTTGTTGCAAGGATAGGTTCCTGGGTTAGTGGTTCTGTTGTGTGGTATATGGTTGTTGGTGAGTATTTGCTTCAGGTTGGGGGGCTGTCTGTAGGCAAGGACTGGCCTGTCTCCCAAGATTTGTGAGAGTGTTGGGTCATCCTTCAGGATAGGTTGTAGATCCTTTATAATGCGTTGGAGGGGTTTTAGTTGGGGGCTGAAGGTGACGGCTAGTGGCGTTCTGTTATTTTCTTTGTTAGGCCTGTCCTGTAGTAGGTGACTTCTGGGAACTCTTCTGGCTCTATCAATCTGTTTCTTCACTTCCGCAGGTGGGTATTGTAGTTGTAAGAATGCTTGATAGAGATCTTGTAGGTGTTTGTCTCTGTCTGAGGGGTTGGAGCAAATGCGGTTCTATCGCAGAGCTTGGCTGTAGACGATGGATCGTATGGTGTGGTCAGGGTGAAAGCTGAAGGCATGTAGGTAGGAATAGCGGTCAGTAGGTTTCCGGTATAGGGTGGTGTTTATGTGACCATTGTTTCCTACTGACCACTATTCCTACCTACATGCCTCCAGCTTTCACCCTGACCACACCATACGATCCATCGTCTACAGTATTTCTTCACAGTCAACATGTGGAAATCTTTGCCAGGGGATGTTGTGAAGACCAAAACTATAACAGGGTTCCAATAAGAACTAGATAAGTTCATGGAGGATAGGTCCATCAATGGCTGTTAGCCAGGGTGGGCAGGACTCCAACACCATGTTCTCCATGTCCCTCGCCTCTGTTTGCCAGAAGCTGGGAGTGGGCAATACGGCAACTTGATGATTGCCTGTTCTGTTCATTCCCCCTGGGGCAGCTGGCATTGGCCACGGTTGGAAGACAGGATACTGGGCTAGATGGACCATTGGTCTGACCAGTATGGCCGTTCTTATGTTCTTATATAGAACCCAGATATATCTGCTCACCGCTGTAACCCACTAGACCCCGCTCTCCTCCCTGGATAGAACCCAGGAGTCCTGACGGGGTCTCTCTCTCCACAGAGTTAGTAATAAAGTAAGAAAATACATAAAAATTTTAAACCTAACCAGTGTGACTTGCCACAAGATGTCAGAACATGTTGTTATTAGAGGTGAGTGGGTCTAATATTTATTTAATTTTCTTTCTTTTATAAAGGAATTAGATACAGGGCTCCTGTCAGCTAATAGTTAAGTTATCTGCCAAAAAACCCGAGAGTTTTAAAGTGCCTAAGTAGCCCCCGGAATCACAGTTAAAGTTGCCTCCCCACTACCAAAATCTGAAATGGTGCCCCGGGTTTGGAGTCCGTTCTTTGGAGGTAGAGTGGGGTTGGGAGCTGACAGCTCCACCACCTGGCCGGGGTCGGGGCTGACAGCTTGTGGCTGCCACAAAATAGCCCCGCAAGACCTACAGTTTGAGAACCCCTGATCTAGAGCAGTGGTTTTCAAACTAGGGCTGCCGCTTCTTCAGGGAAAGCCCCTGGCGGGCTGGGCCGCTTTGTTTACCTGCTGCGTCTGCAGGTTTGGCCGATCGTGGCTCCCACTGGCCGTGGTTCATCGCTCCAGGCCAGCGTGGACTGCGGGAAGCAGCATGGGCCGAGGGATGTGCTGGCCACCCTTCCTGCAGCCCCATTGGCCTGGAGCGGTGAACCACGGCCAAAGAGCACTGGTGGGGATGGAAGATCACGTAGCAGATCTTTTCCATTTCTAACTTTTGTTATTCATACCCTGCTGTATCCCCTTCCGTATCCCCTTCCAGGGCCAGACCGTTGGACAACGCTCTGATTAGATGACAAACCAGTTCACTAGAACACGGACAAGCTATGGAAAAGTCACAATGTTTGACCCCTCCCCAGAAAAACCCAGAAAAACAAGTTGTGACCGAGTGTCTGCCAGCTGGTGGCTGGAAGAGTGGGCAGAACTAGGCAGGAACAGGAGAGAGAACGTCCACTTACTGCTGGCCAGTGCTTCCTGGAACACTCAGCACTGCATCCATCACGCCCAGGGTATCACTAGAGCTGTAAAAACCACAAGAAAGCATCGCTGTGCTGAGACAATTTCAGCCAGGCTCCAGAAAGTCAAGCTCTGGTGGACAGTTACTTGCTGCATGAACCCAACCAAGTAGGTCACAATGGGGCCAGGTGGTAAGGACTCAGATGACCTCACACTGGTGCTCCCAAAAGGGTAGAGGCACATGGAGGATGTTCAACACCAGCCCTGTCTAAATTTTACTGTATGTAAAGTGAGCTAGGCCTGGCTATCGCCTAGAGACGGGCAGCACACAGGAGAGTGAATTAAAGCCCAGGAGGGAATGAAAGGGAATTGGAACCAAACCGGCCATCAGGAAAGCACCCCAGGCCAACGCAGGGCTGTGGAGCTGTTGGGACAAAACAACAAGAGAATCAGTGCCCCGTTCACCAGCTTCTTATTCTCCTTATTAAGGTGCTGGAGGCTTCAGAGGAACCAGTAAAACCCGGTATGGAAACAGCTGGATGGCTCCCCTCAATCAAACCGTAGCATACCCGGTTCTCTCATTTTATCTGCCCCACCAGAAATTCTGGTGACCTCACTGACTGAGGAAGAACAGCGTCAGCCACCTCACTCCTATGGCAAGGACGTTCCTGGGACTCTTGGTTTCCTTTGAGAAACTGTTCAGAGCTCCTGAGGAAACTGGGTCTGGATTTGTTCCCGAGAATGCAGGGAAGATTGGCTGACAATAATTGACAAGTGTTAACATGGGTGTATTTAGTCTATTTGTGCCTGTAACCCTTTTTCTAATTGGAGTCGTCAGTGAGAAGGGCCGAGTTCAATATCTAGGGGTTCCTCTTCAACAAGACAACACAAAACCAGCGGGAGCCCCCACCCGGTAACCTGGGGCAATTACATAACACCCCTGGGGCGCCTCTGAGAGGCAATACTTCCCCTCTCACATGCACAGAGTCTGAGCGTGGAAAGAAACTTATAAAAAAAGCAGGAAAATAACCCGGCATTAACTTGGCAAAATGCCCCAAGCAGGATTCAGAAGCATAAAACAACGAGCACCACCCACAACCCGGAGAACTTTGGGCAGTGTCTTTTTGCCTCAGGTTCTTACATCCGACAATCAAAAGTTCCTTTAATGTGCCCCTCCCTTCGCTCTCCACCACACCGCACTCACACTTCTTCTCCTTGGGCAGTGACAACCCAGAGTTCAGAGGTGCATCTGCAGGAGTTCACCTCCCACCCTGGGGTGGGGAGAAGGGAGGGAAGGCATTTTGCTCGCTCTGTTGTCATCTGCTCCGCCCTGCCAGCCAACCATTCCACTGGCTGCTCACTGCTCTGCTCTGCACCCTCTGGGATGTCTTGAGGTCCCACCACTTAACACAGCCCTCAGTGATTTCAGCTGTTAGTGGGGGAACCTCACTGCTAGTGCAGACTGGGCCGTCTCTTGCACCAGACACACTGTCCCAAAGCAGGTCTAATGCTTACACATGGTTATCAGTGATCTCAGCTCTGTTGTTCAGCAACAAAAGACTCTCAATTGAGTCTTAATCAGCTCTGTTATTACACAGTAGAAACAGAGGAAGGATCAAATGGTGTCAAGGACCCCCAGGCAGTACCTATCTCTCCAGTATGGTACCTCTCCCCACCCTCTTTCATCTCTACTAGGCTTTAGCACTGCTTAGCGGGCATGGTTCAGTTGAGGGGAACCCCTCAATCAGGGCATGCCAAGCACAGTTCTACAACCCTTGACTCTCACAACAAGGAAAACAACCCTCTAGTACCCTGCAGCCAATAACAAAGTGGCTTGCAATCCAATGCCCACCAAAAGTGATCATTTGGGCATAGCAGCTCCATCAGGCTGCTCACTGAGGCAGAATGCGTGCGTCCTTGCAAACAAGGTCAGCTCCTGAAGCCCTCTTCCCCAAGTCATCACTAGATGTCAGGGGAGAGCTCACTCAGACCCTGCTTACATGTATTTAGTGAAGCCTTCTCACCCCCTGCCCCAGGTAGGCACTGGGGTATTACAGGCCTGCGGCTGGGTGCTCTACGCACGGCTGGATAGCACTTCCTCCTGGCAGTTCTGGGGATTAGCTCTGCAAGACCGACGTCCCTTCCTGTGGTTGCACACCATCACTCTGTGTCACTCTCTCAGCCTGCAGCCCCTCTTTCATGCAAGGAGCTACTGCTTACTCTTTGTGACTTGGCCCTCCAGCCAGGTCACTCAGTGGTTTCCCTTTCTGGGGTGGTCTTTCAAGAACTCCACAAGCAGCAGCAGGCAATCTTCATGCCCACCACCCTGAGAATGTCACTCTGGCAGTCTTTGTATCCACTGCCCATAGTAACACCACTCTGCAATGGTTGGCTGGGGAACCCAGGCCCACCCTCTACTCTGGGTTCCAGTCTGGGGCCCTGTAGTGAAGGTTAAGGTCTGTATCTACGCCAACTTTACTGCTCTCACCCCATGACCTTTCCTACCGGGCTTGCTCTCCCTTACCTCAGGGAAAGGAACTGCCAGCTTCCTTCCTGCTGCTCCTGGCTTTCTAGAAGCCCCGCCTGATGCCTCACAGCTGAGCTTCCTTCTAATTAACTCCCTCCACACAGCCTAAATTTCTGCCTTTTGCAGCTTAACTGGGTCCCCTTGGCCTTATTCAGCTCTTACAGGGCTGGTGTGGGGAGTACACCCCATCACAAGGCCCCTGAGAAATGTGGTCCCCTCTGTCACAGTTTGGCCCTCTGCCAATTTCCATGGCAGCTCTGGGCTAGAAGATGCTCAAACCTTTAGTTTTCATCAAAGAGAAAGAGAAACTTATCTCAGAGCTGAGCTCCAGCAAAGTTTATTTACAAAGGTTGGGGGAGGGGAAGGTTTTCTGGCTGTAGTAAGAGGAGGCCTGAAACATAAGTTCTTGTATCAGAGGCCCAGTCTGAGGCCTGAAGCCTGAACCAAAGTACTTCCAGGCAGTGATAAGCACAGCTGGGCTGGGAGCCAGAGGCAGGTCCCACTCACAGACGTTGGCAAGAAAAGGTTGTTGGAGGCATGTGCACACACACACATAAGGGCTAATGAGAGGAACTTGTGCCAAGATGGCGGCAAGACACTGCATAGACATAACAAGGAACAGGCAGGTGCATCTTAATGATAGGGTCAAAAGGACAACATGATGGATAGATTTGTTTGACCTATGATGAGTAATCTGTCCTGCAACTGTATTAAAGTAGGTCCCGGAGCGCATATCTTTGTCCAGCCTAGGGGGCAGTGGAGTGTCCCGCCACTGACTGAGCTGTGTCCATTGCCAGGGAGCACAAATTTGTAGTATGCCCTGTAGAGTCTGTACGGCACTATTACCGTGCTTCGTCTGACAATAAACCTGGCTTGGGTTCCTCCGTACCTTACTAGAGTCTGTGGTTTTGGGAGGGTTCTCTGGGGGTCTGCTGTGTTAGCTATCTGCGCAGAACTGGGGCAGCACACAGTGGGAACACGCACACAGCCGACTGTTGTTATTATTGAACAAGAGCGGAGCACCACACCGGTAGCTACCGACAACACTGGCCAACTGCTATCATCTTCTGCCCTTTGGTCTGTGTGTCTCCCCTTCATTCTCTTCTCCCATTCAGATCGTTTCTTACGCTGTGTTTCGATCTCTCACTCTTTGTTTTAGGGAGCTGTGTCCAAGAGTTCATTCGCAGATATTCAGACCACAAGGCACCGTTGGAGATCATTTCGAATGACCTTTTTGTCTAACACAAGCCAGAGAATTTCAGCCAGTGGTCTCAGTAACTTCTGACGGATCCTGCCCCTGGTGGTATGCATGTGCTCGGGAGATGCCATCTGAAAGGGATGCTGCATCAAAAGGTGCAGAGTCTCTCAAGGGAAGCTATTATCATGAGACGATTCTGTGCCCCATGGTGCAAACCCCTCAAAGGCCATTGCAATTTGATCCCGTGCCTCATGAGACCCAGTTCTGCACAAAATTATTACAAATGGGTCCTGTGGATTTAGCTCCCTTGAGCCAATTGCTTTACTGACAGTGGCCTGGACAGCCAACTCCTTGTCCAGATGCAATTTTCCCCGAGCTGTTGTGAAAAGAGAAAATGAGTGTTGATCCCACAGCACGAATCACAGAAAACAGACCCCCTCAAGGTGCCTCATCTTCCCTTAAAAACATGCCTCAGTCTGACAGAGATGCACGGTTCTTGCACATTCCAGTTCAAAGCATCACTTGTGCCCTGTACACAGAGTCAGCCCATTTTCAGCTCAGTTAAGCAGCGATTTAGCAGACAGAACACTGCCCACGTCCAGGTAGCATTCACCGCTGGTCTCATTTGTCTTAAGGGTGGTTCATGTACCAAATACCTCATGATACCGGTGATATTCTCAGCACTTTTCCATTTTCTCTGTATATTATTCATATAAGACCCTGCCCTCTTACAGAATCTCCAACACCATCTCAGAGAGATGGGGCGCCATGCTGATATTGAAGGCAGACCAAAAGGAAAGGCTGGTGTTCCTAAAACCCTCCATTGTGTGATAGAGAAAGGTCAGTGAAATAATCTCATTAAACAACAGCAACAGTGTTGAGCATCTGCAGGAGCAGCTGGAAACAAGGAAGAGAATCAATGCTATGTGGCGACTGACCTCTTCTCAGATCCACAGTGGGTGCCCCAGAGACGGTAGCTGGGAAATATTAGGGTATTTGCAGGAGAGGTAGAAAATGAAACTGACTAGAAATAGACCTTGAAAGAGACAAATTGTATATACCAAGTGAAATGTAATAAATCATAAATAAACAGTGTATATTGTGAACAAAATTAGACTGAAAAACTTCTGTCAGGTTTAATAATTTAATATAGTGTTGGAAAATCAGCTACTGTAGGGAAAAGATACAAGCAACAGAAGCTTGCTCATTATTTAAAGAGTTTATATTAGAGTACATAACCACAGTGAAGAATGAAAGGGAAAACAGCTGTTATTATAAAGTCTATGGAGGCCACACCCTACTTGCAAATATCAGAATCATTCCATACTTTAATGCAGTCCCCTCAGTGAAACTGGGGGAAATGAGAAGAGAGGAAAGCTATGATGAAGGCACTAGGCTGGGACTCAAGAGATCTGGGCTCAATTCTGCACAAACCCCTTGTGTGACCGTGGGAATGTCACTTCGGTCCAGATCCTCAAAGGTATTTAAGCTACTAATGCCCATTCAAATCAATGGAAGTTAGGCACCTGAATCACTCTGGGGACCTGAGCCTTCATCTCATGTTTCAGTTCCCTAATCTGTAAAAT